TCTCCTGCCCTTCACAGAGCAGAACCCCCAGCCTTATCCCTGCTCTTAGCCCCCTTCAGATTTTCCCTGTCTGCTCTGTCCCTCTCCCAGAGATGAGCCAAAGATGCCCCACCCAACAGGACTGAGCAGAGGAAACGTGTGAGGTGTACAGGGGGAAGACCCCTTCCTCTCTTCTGAACATGGTGTAACTGTGTGCACCATGGAGGCAGTGAAGGGGATCTTAAGTTACCTGAAGTTGTTGCTCTGTCAAGCTTGTGGCCCATTAAGACCTTTAGATCTTGTTCATATAACATACTCCCCGGGAAGGCCTCCTCCAGCCTGCAATTCCTCCTCCACTTGGGTCTTTCCAAATAGGAGAAACCACACCCCCTTGTCACATGTCAGAGACCTCGGTCTCACCACTGGGCGGTCAGTTCAACAGGCTGTGGAGGGGCTGTCAGGTCACGGCTGTCTCCCAGCACTGAGCACAATGCCTCCCAGAGGCACTGAGGGAGGCTCTTTTTAAAATGTGAAATACACACACACACACACACACATACACACACACAGATATAAATTAAAGAGGATTATAACAGTTTAAAGAATAATTTAAAGTAATAAAGCAAGGTATTAAGTGAAATCAGTGGGAAAGGAAAGTACTTTTTAAAAAATACATTTTTATTGATTTCAGAGAGGAAGGGAGAGGGAGAGAGAAATAGAAACATCAATGATGAGAGAGAATCACTGATCAACTGCCTCCTGCAGGCCCCACACTGGGGACCAAGCCTGCAACCCAGGCATGTGCCCTGACTGGGAATCGAACTGTGATCTCCTGGTTCACAGGTCGATGTTCAACCACTCAGCTACTCCAGCCGGGCAAAGCACTTTTAATAAATGGAAAAATGGGTATCAGAAAATAAATCTTAACTACTACTTCATACACAAAAGTCAATTGGAAATGATAATAATAATAATAGCAGGATGAAATTTTGGGAGGTGATGGACATTTCGATGGCCTTGATGGTGGTGATGGTTTCATGGTATATACTTATCCTCAAACTCATCGAGTTCTATACATTGAATAGGTACAGCTTTCTACATGTCAGAAAAATCAATTTGAAATAGATCATAGGCGTAAGTGTAAAAAGCAGAACTGAGAAGACATAGAGATGTCTTTGCTACATTAGGGAGGCAAAGGTTCCTTGGTCAGGATTCAAAAAATACCAACCTTAAAAAATATATATTGAAAAATTGGACTTCATCCAAAATCTAATGTTCTGCTTGTTAAAAGTCACCATTAATAAGATTAATGGACAAGACAAAGACTGGAAGAAAATATTCACTGTGTGTGTGTATGTGTGTGTGTGTGTGTGTGTGTGTGTGTGCGTGTGTATCCGACAAAGGAATTATTCCCAGAACACATAAAGAACTACAAATCAATAGCAACAAGATGAATAATCCAATTGTAAAAAAAATGCCAGAAGACTTGAATAGATACTACAAAAGGAGATATACTAATGGCCAGTGTGCACATAAACGGTGCTCAACACCACCGAAAAACAAAATGTTAGAATTAAAATTATAACCAGACACCATATTATACCCACCTGAATGGCTAAAAATTTTAAGAACTTACACCACCAAGTACCATGAGGATGTGGAGCGGCTGGAATCTCATATTCTGTTAAAGAAAATAGAAAATGCACAGATACTTTGGAGCACCTTTCTAAGTTTCCTCTGAAGTTAGGAGCTAAGGAGATTTCAGGTGCCTTCAGTGAAGCGCACACCTACAGAATGTCTCAATCACTCCGCTCCAGGCTATTTACCCAAGAGCAATGAAAACATATGTTTATCATACCCAGACATGTGTGAAAATGCTCATGGCAGCTTTCTTCACGTTAGCCCACACTGGAAACAACCCAGATGTCTGTCACCAGGGGAGTGGCTAAATAAACCGCGGAACATCCTCGCAATGGAATACTACTCAACAATCAAAACACGTCAACTGCTGATAACCATGCGGGGGAATCTCCAAAAGAGTACGCCGAGGGGACAAAGCCAGACCCCGGCGAGGACGTCCTGTACAAATCCATCTATGCGACGTTCCAGGACGGCAATGCTGACAGAAGTCAGAGCAGCAGTTGTTTCTGGGGACGAGGACTGACTGCAAAGGGGTGCCAGGGGAGGTTCTGGGGCGCTGGAAATGTTCCATGTCTTGCTCAAGTGATAATTACAAGGGCGACTACAAATGTAAAAATGCATTGAAGTGAACACTTAAGAAGTGTGTAATTTATTCTATACTAATTATATTTGCCTTTAGCAAAATACATCTTAAAAATAAAAAATTCTAAAAGAATCCATATTATTCATAATAATTTAAAATAATAATAGTATAGCAAATCATGCATTTTCATTACCCAGCTTAAGAAATAGAGCATGCCCTAGTCCAGTGGTTGGCAAACTGCGGCTCGCGAGCCACATGCGGCTCTTTGACCCCTTGAGTGTGGCTCTTTCTAAGCCTTAGGAGTACCCTAATTAAGTTAATAACAATGTACCTACCTATATAGCTTAAGTTTAAAAAATTTGGCTCTCAAAAGAAATTTCAATCGTTGTACTGTTGATATTTGACTCTGTTGACTAATGAGTTTGCTGACCACTGCACTAGTCGGTTTGGCTCAGTGGATAGACCATTGGCCTGCGGACTGAAGGGCCCCAGGTTCGATTCTGGTCAAGGGCACATGCCCAGGTTGTGGGCTCAATCCCCGGTGGGGGAGGAGGTGTACGTGCAGGAGGTAGCCGATCAATGATTCTCTCTCATCAATGATGTCTCTATCTCTCTCTCTCCTTCTCCTTTCCTCTCTGAAATATATATATATATAAATAGAACATGACCACTATGTTAGGAACTTCGCATTTTCCTCCCTCCCTCAGAGGGAAGCCCTAGCTGGAAGTTTGTGTTAATTAGTCCTTTGTTTTCCCTCTTGATTGTACCACCTCTGCCCATTTCCTTAAACAGTTTATTGTTTAGTGTTTAGTTTGGGCATGCTATATAAATGAATCATTCTGTCTGTATTCTTCTGAAACTTGCTTTTGTCATTCACATTGTGTCTCTGACGTCCATTCGTGTGCATAGCTGTAACCTGTTCATTGTCATTTCTGCACAGTATTCCAGTGTGGGGCTACAGCACAGTTTATCAATCTCCTGTTGATGGACATTGGGTCGTTTCTAGGTTAGGGCTAATGCACACGGGCACAAGTTGCTCTAGGGAACCCAGGTCAGGAAATGCTGGGTTATGGAAAATGCATGCCTTCAATTTACACAATGATAACAGCTTTACTAGAAATTACTGGATAGTTTTCCAAAGTGTACCTGGACAATTCTGCGATTTACATTGCTACAGCAGAAGATGTAAATTTCTCACCAAACCTTGGAATTACTGGACTTTTAAATGTTTGAAAACAAAGATAGGAATAAACTCAGATGCCTTGGAGGCCATTAAAATAGTGAGTGATTGGACTCAGGGGATGGTAGGGAGAGGTGGGGACTGCGGCAAATTGAACACGTGTGTCCTGTCTGAACTAGGTGGCCTCGGCTCTGCTCCCTGGATGTGGTCGGGATGGAGTGCAGACCCAGGGCTGCCCAAGTTCTGGAGTGTTCCAAACCAGCCAGAAATCCAGATTTTTACATAACACCTGGTTTTGGAATGTCAGTAACGATTGCAGATTTGTATTGTACCAAGTACATTTGTGGGCCAAGCCCAAAGTCTCCTAGTGGATTTATTTCATTACAATTCAATGCAATTGAATTTATAGCTTTTGGAACTTACTGGAACTTTGGCAAGTGGCCACAACTCTCTGTGGCTTAGGTGCTTACGTGCTCTATAGATTATCATGCCTTACTGGCGGGGGCCTGGCCTTCCTCCTGCTGCTGTATTACTCAGACAGCTTAGTTTTCCAGAAGTGCTGCTGCCTCAGAGGGATAAGGGTAATGAGGTGCTACTCTCATCTGCTATGCAGCTAAACCTTACTCATTTCAAGCTACCGGAGGAAATCACTCCCTCCTTCATCCCTGCAACCCTCCTGTAACTTGTTCCCCACTCAGCAGCCAGATGGAGTCTTTCAAAATAGAAATCAGATGATGTCACTGTCTTTGCTGGAACCCTTCGATTGATCCCCATCGCACTCAGACACAGTCCAGACTCTTGACCAAGGGCCCTTCGTTGCATCTTTGCCATGTACTTTGCTTCCTTTCCACCCATCCAACTCCCACTCAGGCTCCACTCAGGATGTTTGCACATGCTGTTCTGTCTGCCCGGACCTCCCCTCCCTCTGATCTTTCCATGGCTGTTTTCTTCTTAGCCTCCAGGTCTGGCATAAACATCACCTTGCCAGAAAGGCCTCCCCTGACCACTTATCTAAATAGCAAATGGCTCTCTCTCAGCCTCTGTGGAAGTAATTTTTGCACACACCATTTGCAATCAGCTTACATGTGTGTGTTCATATTGCTCACTACCTTCCTACCATGGGGTCAGCTCCCTGAGGCAGGGACCTGGCACTACCATGTCCCTAGCCCTTGGTGAGGGGCCTGGCATGTAATTAGCTTTTGAGTGAATGGATGTGTGTGAAGCCCCTACCACGTGCAGGACCTGTGCTAGGGCCCGTAGTGGAGTGAGACAGTAAATAACTGTAGCCCAGGCTTCTGAGAGACAGAAGAGGAGAAGAGGCCGAATCATCCACAGTATGAGGCAGGAAGTGTCCCCGGGTAGGAGTGCTGTCAAGATGTCCTGATACATCTGGGTTGGCTGTTTGCAGCTGGCATCTGTGTGCCCTGACAGTTGTTACATATTTTAATTTCCTTCCCTGGATAGAGCTAGGGGTGAGATCAAAGTCTAGCAGAGCAGAAAGGATTGGGGGAGGATGAGCACTGGATGCAGGGTCGGAATCCCAGCTGTGGCCTTGGGAAGTCTCAGTGTGCACGAGGGACAGATACCCCCACTCCCAGTGTCGGGAGAATCAGCATCATCCTGTGTGTGAAAGAAACTGATCAAAGCTCTGATGCATTTGGTGGTAACTGGCAACTCTTGCCAGGTGATGCAAGGCCAGGAGGTCAGAGTAGAGTCTGGGGACACAGTGGGTGCAGGACAGCGGGAGAGCCTTCCTAGCAGATGGAAGGGAGTGAGTTGGAGCCAGGTAAGCAAGTGGTGGTGGTGGTTGGGGGGAGGGCAGAGGGCTGCGATCCAGGGAGGAGCACCAGGTTTCACACAGGCCTCATGGTGTCCATCTGCCCTCTGACCCTATGGAACTTAATTTAAATGCTCTCCTCTAGATACTCTGAGCTTGAGCTGCTGGCACTCCTGTGGGCTTTCCTGGGGGAGACAAGGAATGCCCATCCCCTGTGAAATTCCCAGTGGATAAGGTGACTCCTTTGCAGGCTCATGACCTTTGGGGGCTGTGTGTGGGAACATGCCTGAGAAGGTAGTAAAGGGACCATATTTATCCCAATGGACCTGCTATATCCCAAGCCATGAGGAAACCAGATTCAGAGAGGTTAAGTGAGTTGCCCAGGGTCACACAGCAACAACAAGGGAGACTTGGACCCAACTTTTTTGACACCAGGCCCCAGGGGCCTGATACAGAGCACAGATTATGTACCAGGCACTGTGTGGCCATTTACATGGGCAGGTGTTAGCACATCTACTCCTCATGACAACCCTGTGAGGCAGGTAAAGTAGTTATCTTAATTTTTCAGAAGAGAAGTCTGAGGGTCAGAGAGGTCAAGAAAAAGGTGGTGAAGTAGCTGAATCAGAATGATGATAACATTTGCAGTAATAGTGGTAGTAGTAGTGATAGCTAATACTTATGCAGTGATTGCCCTGTGCCTGGCACTGTCCTAAGCGCTTTGAATATATTCACCTGTTTAATTCTCACAGCCATCCTTCAAGATACAGGCTCTTTCCCCCGCACTACCCCCCCTCCTCTTACAAATCAGGAAACAGAGGAAGAGAGAGGTGCAAGTCTCTGACTCCTGAGCCTGCTCTGTAATATGCCAGCTACATGGCACAGCCCCACATGCTCAGAGGCAGCCAACTCATACTTGCTCTGCTGCCCTGGAGGGCACCACTGAAACCACCTTAAAAGGTGGCAAACCTTCCATCTGAGAGGATGTGCCAACCAAGGAGGTCAAGGATGCTGTGGGAGAGGACCCAGATGGCCTGTGCCCCTTGCTCTCCATGCTGTGCCAGGGGAAGTATCCATGTTACATAACCAGTCTGACCCCCAACTGGTGGTTTTTGCAGTCCAGGTAGGTAAGTGGGTACCAGCCGGGGTACAAAAGAAGGGTTTGGCCCAGGATGCATTGGGCGTTTGGCTCCTCTAGTTGGACTGAGCCCTGAATTCTGGGAGCTCCACAGGGCCCAGTCCTGCCCTGCCCTTGCCCTGGGAAGGCCGTGACCTCTCCTGAGCCAGGGCTGGGCACAGCAAGGAGCTGCCTGGCAGCCAGCAAAGCGGAAAACATTGCTCTAATTGGTCTAATAGGTGCCCTCTGTGCAGCGTGCATCTGGCACAGCCCCACAGTATTGCAGGTTCCTGTCCCCCACAGGGCCCAGCTGGCCTGGAAGCCTGGTGCCTGCCAGGCTGGAGTCTGCCATGGGCCTCTTCCTTCCTTCTTTCCTCTTACATTTTTATTGAGCACCTAGTGTTTGCCAAGCCCACTCTGCCTTGGGTCCTAACTCTTGGTGTTCATCGCTTAGTTTCATCTCTTAAAGCTCCTCCCATCTGCTGTGTGAGAGAGAAGGGCTCTGACAGCTCTGGGTTCAAATCCAAGACTGCCACTTGCCCACTCTGCAAGCTCAGGCCAGTTGCTTCCTATTCTGTCAATGGGCTGACAGCTCAGCCCATTCAGGGTGTGGCTGTGAGGGCCCCACCCACGGTAAACTGAAGTCTCACCTCCTCCAGGAAGATCCCAAATCCCAAATGGCTTCTCCCTCTGGTCTCTGACCTGCACCCATCGGGTACTGGGAAACATCAGGGCTGAAAGGCTAGAAGTGATCTTTGAGCTCAACCACTCCCTTCACATATTGCCCAGGGGAACCGAGAGCTCTCTACAGACTGGCCTCCTGAGATAGTACAGTGAGCCCACGGCAGAGCCAGGGCTAGAGTCAGGGGCCCCGGATTCCCTCTCCAGTGCTCTTCGCAAAATAGGGCTTTCTTAAGGCAGCTCAGCTGATGGTGAAGCGCATGCCTTGGAAGTTTGATGGTCCTGAGCTTAAATCCCACCTGTACCACTTACCAGCTGGGGGCGAGGGGCAGGTCATTTCTTCTTGCTGAACCTCCATCTCTGCATCTGTAAATGGGGATGATAATTATATTATTGTTTGGGTATTTCTTGCAGCAGGTCCTAGGAGAAGCTGGGGGTTTGAGATCCACTTGGTCCTCTGGGACTTGTCTGGGAATAGATACTCCCCTTTCTGGGAAGCTGGGAGTGAAGCCAGCCCTGGTGAGTGGAGGAGAGAGCGTGGGCTCTGGAGCCAGATTGTCCTGGTTCAAAGGTTGGCTTTGTTCCTTCCCAACTGTGTGACTTTGGGCAAGTTACTTAACTCCTCTGTGCCTCAGTTCCCATCTGCTAAAACAAAGTTATTATAGGAAATTTCCTTGTTGAGGATGAAATGAGTTAATACATCCTCAAAGTATACACACACTTTTAATAATTATAGAGGCAGTGTTTATTTTTTAAAATATATTTTTACTGATTTCAGAGAAGAAGGAAGAGGGAGAGGGAGATAGAAACATCAATGATGAGAGAGAATCATTGATTGGCTGCCTCCTGCATGCCCCCTCCTGCGGATGGATCCCAGAACCCAGGCATGTGCCCTTGACTGGAATCAAACCTGGGACCTTTCAGTCCGCAGGCTGATGCTCTATCCACTGAGCCAAACCAGCTAGGGCAAGGCAGTGTTTATTAAAATGGACATTTCATTTCAAAATTGAGCTATCAGCTGTTAAAGTGTGTATACATGTTTTTAGGACACCCTGTATTTGGGAAGTGTTTGCAACAGGATCTGGTGCAAGGCTTACAGGTTAAATAAAATACAAATGCCTGCCTTGTGCTCTCACCCTGATCACAGGTAGGTTTAATGCCTTCCTTCCTAGAGAGTTCGTGGGTAGGCTCAGAGCCCACGAATGGGGAGTCTGCAACATTGGCTCCTGGCCTAGCCCCTCAGCCCTCTCTCTGGGGGGCAGGTGAACTCTGGGCTGGACAGGGGGTTTTCCTGAGCAGCAACCACTGGATGAGCAAAGAAAAGATCAGAATGCTTGTGTCCACTCATGATCCTTTTAAAAATTCCATTTTGAGTCTGTTTTATAATCTATACTAGAGGTCTGGTGCACAAAATTTGGGCACTGGGAGTGGGGGGGTCCCTAAACCCGGCCTGCGCCCTCTCGCAGTCCAGGAACCCTCAGGGGATGTCCAACTGCCACTGCACTCGCCAGCCATGAGCCCAGCTTCTAGCTGAGCAGCGCTCCCCCTGTAGGAGCGCACTGACCACCAGGGAACAGCTCCTGTGTTGAGCATCTGCCCCCTGGTGGTCAGTATGCGTCATAGTGACCAGTCATTCCACTGTTTGGTCGATTTGCATATTAGCCTTTTATTATATAGGATAATACACTAGTTAAATAGCATGCTTATCCTATCTAGTAATAGACAAAGATTGAAATTAACCGTACCTCCCATATGCTTCCCATTGGCTAATCAGCGAGATATGCAAATTAACCGCCAACAAAGATGGCGGCCAGCAGCCACGCAGCTGAAGCGAGCAGGAGACTTGCTTGCTCCAGTGATGGAGAAAGCCAAGCTACCTCCCTGCTGCGGCCGGGCTCTGAGCTCCACTCTAAGCAACAAAGTTGCAATTATAGAAGTTAAACCCCAGATACCTGCTTTCAGCAGGCCGTGGCCTTGGAGCTGGAGTGGCAACAAAGTTTCAATTATAGAAGGTAAATAAATCCCAGAATAAAAAAGAAAGAAAAAAAGGAGAGGCTGGGAGCTTCAGTTGCCAGCGGGCTTGGCCAGCCTGAAAACCCTCAGCCCCTCATCCAGACTGGCCAGGCACCCCAGTGGGAACCCCCACCCTGAAGGGGATGTGACCAGCTGCAAACAGCCATCAGCCCCTCACCCAGGCTGGCCAGGCACCCCAGTGGGAACCCCCACCCTGAAGGGGATGTGACCAGCTGCAAACAGCCATCAGCCCCTCACCCAGGCTGGCCAGGCACCCAAGCAGGACCCCCACCCTGATCCGGGACACCCTTCAGGGCAAACCAGCCGGCCCCCACCCGTGCACCAAGCCTAATAGCAGAAAGACTGGGAATGACTGTTCACTATGACACACACTGACCACCAGGGGGCAGGTGCCCAATGCAGGAGCTGCCCTCTGGTGGTCAGTGAGCTCCCACATGGGGGAGCTCTGCTCAGCCACAAGCCAGGCTGATGGCTGCCAGTACAGCGGTGGTGGTGGGAGCCTCTTCTGCCTCCTCAGCAGCGCTAAGGATGTCCGGCTGCAGCTTAGGTCTGCTCCCCGCTGGCAAGTGGACATCCCCCGAGGGCTGTCGGGCTGCCAGAGGGATGTCTGATTGCCAGCTTAGGCCCAATCCCCCAGGGAGCAGGCCTAAGCCAGCAGGTGGTCATCCCCCGAGGGGTCCCAGACTGTGAGAGGGCACATGCCGGGCTGAGGGAACCCCCCCCCCCCGAGTGCACAAATTTTTGTGCACCGGGCCTCTAGTACTTTATAAATAAATATACATCTTTGGGAACTGCTGTGTGTGCATTCAAATTTGGAGACCATTTGACCTAAAATAATAACAAGGAAACATTTAGGGGCAGGGTAGTGCTGAGCATTGAATTAATACACTCCCCTCCCCCTCTCAAACTGGACACATGGCCATCATTGGCCTGTGCAAACTGCTGTCCCCAGGCTTGTTTCATTATATTCTCCTCTCAGGTTCCCTTTGCCATCTTCCCCAACATAGGCAACCCTTCTAAAGTGTGGAATGCCTGCTACCTGTGTGCATTCTTGCAAAATGAGTATGCTTCTACTCTTCAGTCAACTTGTTCAGAGTAAGGCGTTCATACAGAGAAGCTCAAAACCGACTCGTGGAGAGCTTTGTGAATTTTCACAACCTGAACACACCGTGTCCCACAGATCAGGAAGCAGAATATAATGGGTGTTCCATAAGCGCCACGTGTCTGCCCCAGGAGCCACCCTCCTGACTTCTGACATTGCAGAGCTGATTTAGCCACGCTTGACCTTTATACAAAGGGCGCCATGCACCACGTACCCCTCTGTGTCTGGCTTCTCTTGCTCCATAGCTCATCTGTGAGGTGCATCCACGTTGGTGTAGATGTCATCTTTGTGTCTGGAATGCCCTCATATGTAACGACCACAGTTGTCCTGTGCCCTTCTCATTGGACATGTGGGTGTTTCCAGCTTGGAGCTGCTACAAACGGTGCTGCGCATTCTTGAACAGATTTTGGGTGATCCTGGTACATATCTCTGTTGGGTAAATAGCTATGGGTAGGATTATCGGATCCCGGTGTATGTGATATCTTAGCTTTGGTAGATTCTGCCAGAGCCTTCCAAAATGCCTGTACCATTTGGCACTCCCACCAGGGACGTAGGAGAGTTCCGGCCATTCCACATCCTTGCCAGCTTGATGCTGTCTTTCTCATCACAGCCATTATAATTTGGATTGTGACTTTTGTAAGTGATGTTGCCTTATGGTTTTCTTTTTATTTCTTACTCCCCCCCCCCCATGCTTCCCCTGCATCCCCCCAAATAGCTGGAAGAAACAGTTCCCATTGCTAAACACTTTATATATGCCAGGACTGAGAGCTTGATTCTACATCTATCATCTAATGTAGTCCTCGCTACCACCCGAGGAGGGAAGTATCATTTTACAGATGAGGCAACTGAGGCACAGCGATGGGAATACCCCTCCACAGGCCCAGCTGACCATGTCAGTTGGCAGGAGAAGGGGTCAAAGTGAAAACCTTCAGTGTGACTTAGGGCTGTTCTGACCTGATCCCTCATTTGATTAAAGTAACCAGGATTGGACAGGGGGAATGGTATTCCAAGGGACCACAGAAGTGTGCATTCTTGCAAAAGGAGGTGGGGTTGGCCTGCAATCAATTCTGGATAAATCCTACTCCCTCCCAGGCCTCAGTCTTCCCGGCTATAAAGTGACATCGTCCAGCACATGGCACAAATAAATGTGTTTGCTGCATTAAATGATACAGTCTGGTATTGAGCCCCTACAGTGTGTCAGGTGGTCCTCGCCTGTTACCTCACTTAATCCTCCCAAATGCCTTCAAGCTGTCTATGAAAATCTCCCTGTCATAGCTAAGGACACAAGATCCAGAGAAGTGGACACATCTGGGCAAAGTCACACCGTGGATAGCAAAGCCGAGATTTGAATTCACATGATTCACTGTGGTGCCCGGTCTCCTCAAAGATCCTCTATTTGGAGCTCAGCTTTGCAGAGCTGTAGGACTGCTTAGGTGTTGAAATTTATTTTTAAGTTGTTCAAGAAAGATCATTGCTTTTCCCACCCCCAAGTTAAAAGGGAATAATATGATATGACCCAGCAATTCTACTCCTAGGCATATATACAAGAGAAATGAAAATATATTTCCATAATGAACTTGCACATGAGTGTTCAGAGCAGTGTTATTATAATGACTAAACAGTGGTTAAAAACCAGCGTCCATCAACTGATGAGTGTACAGTATAAACAAAATGCAATATATCCATACAGTGAAACACTATTCATCAATAATAAGGAATATGGTATTGACACATGCCACAGCATGGGCAGACCTGAACACGTTATGCTAAGTGAAAGAAGCCGGTCACAAAAGGCCACATATTGTTTGATCCCATTTATGCGAAATATGCAGAATTGGTAAATCCATAGAGACAGAAAGTAGATTAGTGGTTGTTGGGGCTGGGGTCAAGGAGGTAGGGATGGGAGGAGCTAATGGGTGCAGGGTTTCTTTGTGGAGTGATGAAAATGTTCTAAAATTAGATTGTGGTGATGGTTGTGCAACTCTGGAATTATGCTACAAAATGCCGAATTGCACATTTTAAATGGATGAATTTTGTGGCGTATGATTATATCTCAATAAAGCTGTTTTTTACAAAACTGAAAGTAAGTGGCTGACTATGAAGTGTGGTGGACAGGACACCCTCGGAGGGCTTTCTGCAAGTGTAGCACTGCCTCATCCCACGGCCTGCCTCTTCAATCGGTTGTTTGGAGCCCA